CATTAGATACACAAACATTACCTACACAAATTAGAGGAAGAACCCAATTGTCCTACTGAAAAAGAAAGAGAGGGGGACACTTTTAGCCATGGTCATTAGACTACATTTCTTTATATTGTTTTCCGTCATTTTAGTTTTTGTTCTACTGCTTATTCATTTCACTTGTTGCATTTGTTTCTTATTAGGCATTAGATTATCCCAGACAAAGAACCACACATTTACAGGTACCTGCACAAGAGCTAGCAAAATGCGCAGTAGTGTACCGGCATTGTAATAACAAGTAATGATAATAATAGGAAAATATGCCTGTGCTTTGCAATTCAGAGAATACTTGAAAAGCACCGAGTGCTGTTGATGTACCTTCAGTGGATGTTGCACTCAGAACTTGGCAAAGCATTCTCACCACTTTAGGGAATACTTCCTCGCAGGTTTATTTTCAGAGGTTCTGGCAGGTATATAAAATGTAAGAAGAAAGTTTGTGGCTTTTACCCAAGAATTGAGTTAAAAGTACACCTTGACAGAACACTCTGCTACTTTGATACTGCGTTGCCATATATACATTATATCTAATGTAAAGAAAAGCAAGAAAAACATTCCAAACCTCATAGCAAATTTATTTTTTCTTTTTCAAGCTTTTCATCACTTAGGGTTGGACTCATTGAGAGATAATGACAGGATTCAGATTCAGTGCAGTGGAAGCTAAGCAGGCAACAGGAATTTAAAATTGATTTTCCTTCACCTTATGGTTCTTAGAATATGAAGAAGTATGCATTGTTGGATATGCAAGTTACGTCTGCATCTGTATTAGGTTTTGGGGTTGTTTTTTTGCTTATGTGGCAGATGCATTGCCATTTGAAAAAGAGAGTAAAGGTACTCTCAGTTTTGCTGCAACAGATTTCAAGCCACTGAGGTGCCCATGTCCTTACAGCGGCACTGCAGATGTTTGAACACAGCAACTTTGGGTCTCTGCCTCACTGTAAGAAAGCACGAAAGAGGAGACAAACTTTTGACTGCTGTGCTGGAGCACAGCTTCCTTGTTTTTCTGGTGCGGTGAAATGCAGCAATGCATCTCTTAACATGAGCTCAGCTGAGTTAGTGCCACGGCGATTGGAGCTGCAAAGACCCCAGGGGCAAATTCAGCATGCTATTGTGTTGACAGTATTTGGAACTGTTGAAAAAGTAGATTAGGGTCTTCTGAAGTAATTTCTGTGTATGTAATTTATTGTGAGTAATAACAAAATGAGAGCTTGGTTTTGGTATGATTTTGAATATTATCTCTTGTTTTGTTAGGAGAAAACCTCATTTTTTGCTATTAAAATACGTAAATAATACACTGTTATGTGCTTATATTTGTCATAATATTTTAGTGCCTGTGACTAATAGCTACAACAAATGAAACTACGCATGTGGAATATTTTGGCCCAGACAGAGACGATTTCATGCATCTCTGATGTTTTAAGAAGACTGGTGGTCAGTTGATGGTTAATGTTGTTGATTGCTGCAGTTTTATTACCTCAGACATAAGGCTCGCATTATGGAGTAAGAAAAGAATGCTACAAGTGAAGATCTTTTCCCTAAAAATCATTTCATCTAAACAGAAGATTTAAGCAGATGAAATAGAAATAATGAAGTGAGAAAATTTCAGCTAAGGTTGCTGTGGATCAGTAGTACAGAACTTTTATATTTTTAATCCCCATGAAATATTCTGTACAGGCTTTGTAGAGTCCATCATTCAGAGATTAACAGACATTTAAAAATACAAATGTGTTAAATTTGTAGTTAATAGTGATGATTTGTTTGCTGTACGGTAAGCATTTTTCTGGAAAGTACTTTGCTGTTCTACTTTGTTCTGATCAGTGTTATTTTATGGTGTCTGATGACAGGGATTGTTTTCATAAGTCATTGTGAATGAGCACGTCTTCATCCTTCAGATGCTGACACTGAGGGTAGTTATATTTCTCTCACCAGAAAGGGAGGAAATAGAGAAGTTTTGGAGCGTGACTCTGATTTGAAGTGGTTTCTAATTAATTTTGGAATTAAAAAAAAAAAAAAAGTCTTTATACAGATTTGATTTCCTGAACAAGTTTTACCAAATCCTGCATGTGGCCAAAAGTACAGGACAAAAGTATAGGTAGGGAAACCTGTGACTGATGACCTATTTTCCTCTGAGATCTTGGAATGGGGTCACATTTGTCACCCAGTTTCCTGTCAATATTTTTAAGGCTTTCTGACGTGATTATTTTTTAGAGTCAAATTGAATGAGGTGATGCCATTAACTAATTAAATGGTTTTAATGTGGCATCTCAGACTTATACTGGGACAAGGCCTAACATGGCTTCCTAGCCAGCTGAGAGTGGTGTTATATTTTTAAGACATGAACAGTGTTGTCCAGTCCATCCATGTCATAGGAACTCCAATAGGGGAGAAATAAACCTGAAAGAAATCAGAGGTGTACTTTCTAATTTTTTTTTTTTTTTAAATTATCAGTTTCTTTTTCCTCATCTTCCTGCATTTTCTCCTCTTTCTCCCTTTTCCCCTCATTCTTACTTTTTTTTGCAGTTTATCTTTTTTCAAAAAATGTTCCCCTCATTGCAGCCATAGCTTCTGAGGACAGTTAGACTTCACTGGAGGTGAACGTACTGTATGTGATGGCTTAGGTCTCTTTCCTGCTAATGCTGGTAGCTAAGTGGCTAAGGATGAGAAAAATTACATATTTACACCGCAATTATAGGAATTACATGGTTTACTGTCTAAGTACCATTTTGCATCATGGTAATTATCATGATATTAAATAGCTGTGTCATCACAGAAGGAACACAAGTCATTACCCCAGTCTACATATGATTACTCTTAAACATAATTGCTATGTAATCTTTAGGTGATTGAATTATCATGCAGACCCATGTGCATGCCACCAGCACAGCTATGCATAAAAAAACCTGCTTAATCAAAGATTATTGCAGTTTCTTTTTTTTAATTGCATGATTTTCAAAATATGGCAATTCAGGGCCAGGTTTTGAAAAAACGTGCAACTTTTACTCTGCTTTGTTAAAGCGCGTGGTAAGAATTTGTGTCACAAATGCTGTGAAGAACATGTATACATAACTGCAACACTGGCATAGGTACAAAAGGGGTACTTCCCTTTTCATGGGCAACGTGTTGTGAGTCCACAAACCCACTGAAGTCAAGTCATTGTCCTGGTCAGCTCTGGATCAGATACCTCACTGTGAAGGTAACTTTTGCAGATGTTATGAAGTGGTACCGGCTGGCCTTAGGGCAATGATGATATACCCTATAGAGGGGTTCCTATACCATCAGAAAGTAAATTTAGCAAATGTTAAGGGAAGAAAATATCTGACATTGTGTATGGAATCATATTTTTTATGCTGTATATTATGAAGTTTGCTTAAGCTGTAATTTCCATCAGTTTTCTCTCATTTGTAGCATTTGTTCAAGGCAGTCGTATGTAGATTCAAAACAATATAATCTGTATAGCAGATTTGCTTTATGTAGAACCATGATTTTTGTGGTAAGTGACGTTCATTTAGATATTTTTTCTAGAAACAGATTTCCTGCTTTTCTAAAAGTTCATCTCTAAAAGTACAAAAATCTCAGTAAGGCATTTCTTGGATCCCTTGACAGCTTGTAAGACAAGCAAAAACAACAGGATGATATAATCTCTATTACAATATTTTTCTAATGATTTCCTTTGTTTCTTCAAAAGAAATTCTAGAAGTAATGTAGTTACTTGATTCATGAGCGTATTCAAGATAACCCCACCTCTGAAATTACATACTGTTGCTGCTGAATACAGACTCAGAAAGTGAACCAGAGTAGCCTCATTTCTGAGAACAACATCTGCATCTGTGCCTGAGAAATTGTGTCCTCCTTGCATGCTGATAAATTTTTAATGGATTTCTTGCACCATAGATACAACGTGACATTCTGATAGTTAGTTCTGGGCTGATTCACGTTCCTGGAATTTGTCATTCAGAAGAACCTGATCAGGCTGAGAGTTTCAGTTGCACTTAGAGCTTAATAAGCATTTGTTTTTGGAATGTGTACTGTAAGGTGTGTTTTATAAAGAAAAGTGATATTTCTAATACATGTTGCTGCATTCTGATATACAAGAGATATATATTACATACTAATAAACATCAGATGTTGCAGTCAATTTGTAGTGTTCATGTTTTATGTACTGAATAAAATCTCTTTACCATTTAGTTGGCATAAACAGTAAGGGGGTCAAAGTTTATAATTGCATCAATAGTCTTTGCAGGTTTAGGAGGATTTGGGGGTAGGTTCAAGTTATATGGTTGTAATCTGTTTCATTGTTCATCTGATTCATTCGTATGATTATATGATACCAATTGCATCCCTCAATTTTCTTCCCAGATTTTGAATGAAACAAAACCTGGAATAAAAATTAGCCCAAATCACAGAATTTTTTTTTTTTCTTCTCAAAATGAGTTGAGGTCACAACTTTCCCAAGATTTCCATACAAACCTGAACTAGACAAGGCTTATGCCTATGGTTTACATGCAGTTTGAGGAATCTTTTGAAATTGCTAGGCAATTTCTTTGGGTTTATGTTTTACTGTTTACAGACCTCATAGATACCTATACTGGATTTTAAACAGGTATCAAATGAAGTATTAGTGACCACTTGGAGGTTTGTCTTTCATTTTCAACTATAATTACGAAAGCGTCCATGGCAGCAAATATATTTGAGAGAAACCAAAAGATGTTGAATATAGTTTCGTATTTGTCCTCCTGAATCTTCTTTTTTTTTATATCCTATGGATTAAATTTATGTCCTGCCTGATTCCTATGTTCTACAGTATTAAATTATGGTCAAGAGAAAATTTATTTACAATGCACGTCACACTTGCATGTTTTTTATTCTGTTCAGGTACAATCTACATATGGCATGCCTGTTTTTCCAGTGGCCACAGGAATATATAATCTGTCATCAACAATGTTATTTGCTTTTTCCTTTAGGGGCTGATGTTATCAATTTTGATGGCCATGTAGTGTTACCATACAGATTCAGGAACAAGAAAATGAAAACACTGAAAGATGTCATCTCTCTGAAATTTAAGACCTCTGAAAGTGAAGGTGTAATCTTCCACGGAGAAGGACAGCAAGGAGACTATATCACCTTGGAACTGAAGAAAGGCAAACTTGTTCTAAATTTAAATTTAGGTATGCTTTCATTGTTTAGTTTTGTGTACTTTTTAACTCTCCCACAAAAATTTTAGGTCAAATATTACATCCTTTTTTTCCCAGTAATATGGTATGCCACATCATTTAATCAGATAATTGTTGTTCATTCCCTATCTATAAGTTTCTATATGGGTTTTTTTCTGTTCTATTCCTTCTTTTTTACTCTGTGAGATACCATGAAAATAAGATCATACAGAAAAATTGGATCAGCAATACATTGTCACTAGAAACTCCCCAGAAATAAAAAAAAAGCCTTGCTAGAATTATGTTTGGCCTCAGCTGTGGCTTTGTGTGAGAGAAGGACACTGTCATCAGTGCTAGAGGAATAAAGGTCACCCTTGGGAACCCTGCAGCAAAAGGTATCAATCTGGGAAGCTACAGGCTGTGTGAAGCTGAGGTTCAGCAAAAAAATTCCTAGCATCTGAGAAGTAGGACTAGGAAAGGAAAGAAGACATGTTGATTTATCAAGTAATCTTATTATAGAATCCTGTAGATGTTACTCTAGTTCCAGCTTCCTTTTTCCCTCCCAGTGGAAGACTGCAGGGTCCTGAGTGACTGGATTTATAAAGTACATTTATTATGAACCCCCCCCCACGTTTATCTGGTTTCAGGTATTTTTTTTTCCCCTTCAAACAAAAGAGTTTTAGAAAAAGACTTCATGTAGCTTTCCTTATTTCTCTTACAGACATATGAAGAGTAAATTATTGTGTTCATTATTTACATTGAATAGTAATTATTTCCACTAGCATCTTCCCTGCTCTTTTTCTAAAGATCAATGTGAGCAGATGGTGAGGAGGAAAGCACATCGTCCTATAGCAGTTATCTATTTTTAAAAATTTTAATTGCAATACTAACCCATTCATTTCCAGTTTCTCCATATTCTTCAGTTCAGTCTATCTTGATAAGCTATTATAACTTCCATGTATGTGCTGGATGGAGATGTCCTTAAGTCACTAGGCTGAGAAATGGGAATAGGCCTTGTGACACATGCTCACTTAATAAACAGACATCATGGTTTAAGGTGTTATTCTTCTTCTGCCTGAGAGTATTGTCTTTGCACCACAGTCAGTAGAAAAGAATGTTCATTCTGCCTGGTGAAAACCAGTGACTTAGTTTCAAACGTCATGATAGGGGGAGGATGGGGAGACAGGGTTGGATTTAAGTTTCACTTTGCTCTGGATTTGACTTTGCATTGAAGAAACTGAGGTTTATGGACTTGCATGGAATTTTTTATTTTTTTTTTTTTAACCAGCAACTGTTGAAGGATCAGTGGCCTTCAGCAAAAAGGCAGTGTGGTCATTTACAGGGGAGTAATGTCTTAAGCCATGAAATGTGGTTTGCCAAGATGTGTTATCAACATGCACAAACCTTAATGTATGAGTTGCAGGCATGCTTGATGGTAAGAAATTCTCAGCTCCAGAAATGCTTTAGGTCTTCATGTATTCAGAACATGGAAGATTGCACTGAGGTATTAGGCAATGCAGCAATTTTTTAAACTTACTGCTGAATTAGTCATTTGCTGCTTCAGTTGAGATCCGTGCTATCAACCTTTGCTGGCTTAGCCATGTCAGTCAGACTGCAGTGAAATGTGATCTCTGACTAAGCATAACTGTGCTGGTAACAGCCCCTGGAAAACACAAAGTGCGCTGCAAAACTGTACCCTTGGTCATAGTTTGACTTCCAGAATAGGAAGGTTGCTGTAGGAGGAAAGACCGAAGTAAGCTGTGGTAGCAGAAGACACTTCTTGCTGCTTTTAGCTCAGTCTGCATTGAGCCTTTTGATATACACTCCTGGTATAGTTATACCGGAAGAGCCTACAAAGTGTAGGACTCTGACTGAAAGGCTTTTTGTTACCGAACTCTATTATCAGGGATCATGTCTTCCCCAAGAGTCATAAATCAGTGAGTTCCAGGGAAGCTCAGGACCTGGCCCAAAGGTGACAGCTTTTCATTTCTGTAGTGTAGGGATGGAAACACAGAAAACCCTTTGTTGAAAGCAACTTTACAACTGGTACTGCTTCTCTGGTCTGCCTCCAAATAACTACTGTTACGAATAACTCTTTATACAGTTCACTGATCAGATACTTGCTGTATGTTGTCTAGCTATGTGTATTTATGGCAGCAGCTCTCCACTGGGCATCTCTTAGCTTTATAGTGGACTGACTTCTTCCAGCTTATTGTGTGCCTGGTATGATTCATCTGAAATATTGACACAACAAGAGGAAAATGTTTACCTAACTGGTACGAGGTGAGAAATGCTATTGTTTCTGTTCTCATCTTAGGCAGCAACCAGCTTGGTTCTATTTATGGCCACACATCTGTGATGACTGGCAGCCTCTTGGATGATCACCACTGGCACTCCATCATCATAGAGCGCCACGGGAGGAATATCAATCTGACCCTGGACAGACACGTGCAGCACTTCAGAACCAATGGAGAATTTGATTACCTGGACCTAGATTATGAGGTAGACAGTGAAACGTGCTTGTTTTCACTCAAATTGGCTTTATAAAGATAAATCCAACAAGAAAAGAATAATATAATTTAAGATGTTTTGGTGCCTTTTTGTACATTTGTTTTAATTATCTTTTCCTTTGCATTTTCTGGATTTTTATTTCCAACACTATTCTCTTAAGTGTAAATTAAGTTTCTCTTCATTATTCTACCAGATCCCATCTGGTGTAAAAGTCATCTCAGCCTTTTGTGTTAAAATGGGAGATCTATCTTATTCAGTGAGCTAAGCATACACTACTTTTAAAATCTCTAAAAGCAGCTGCTGTAAGGGGAAAGTGGGTTAGAAAAAAAAAAACCCATACAATCTTTATTCCATTCAGGTGATACTTTTGCATTTGAATCAGGAAGGCTCATTCTGTGGTGACAATTAGGATATATTTTCAGCAAAGCAAGCGGATTAGAATCTTTTTACTAATATGGGTCTTGATCTTTCTTGTCTGAGGCAGGTAGGTCCTTGTATTTTACACAAACATGCCATCAATTACTTTTCATAAAGAAGCATTAAAGAGTTGGGAAAGTTCTAAGAAAACTTTTGTTTAATCAGTCAGTTAATGCACACAAGTGTTGGTAGTAATTAAATGTGGATTTGTTGTGTGATTACACTCTGGTTTCTGCTATTACAAACTTCTTTAGTTCCTCTAAATTGTTACGTGAACTTCAACATGTTGGTTATTACAGACTTGGTGTAATGATTTTCTTGCACTCTTTACGGTTTCTAATGAGAATTAATGTGGTTGGCTGAGACAAACATATTTCCATCCTTGCAACTTTTTAAGCAGTGAGAGGGAATCAAATTGATGTAATACAGGAATGTTTGAATTAACTTATCTATTGATACCTTTACAAACAATCTTTTGATCAAGAACATGGTATGAATGTTTGAAAAAATTACTTACGACTGTAAATTTTACCAAATCAAATATTTACTTACATTCCAACAAATCTTTATGAATGCCTTCTTTGGTAGCAGTTGTAATGAGAAAAGAATGAACAAATTTGCTTGTACCTCTGTTATTCATCGAGCACTGAAGATCTGCATTAAGCTACTGAAAACTCACATAAATAGATTTTTATTAAGGTTTTTCAAGTGAGTGAACTACAGAAAAATTTAGGCTGAATGGCATAAGCCAGGGTTGCCAGTTTGCATATATATATATATTATATATATATATGTAAAACCCATACATGTGTGTAGAATGTTTACATGATAAATATATTGGATACAACAAATTTACCCCTAGTAATAGTAGAATCCAGGAGACTCACTCTCTTCTCTGACATTGGATATCTCACTGCCAGTTCTCAGATACATTTCGGTCTCCATGTACATCAATCTCCTTGTGTTTAACTTATTCAGATGTGTGTGGATATGTGTTTCTATGGTTCATATAAATGCAAGAGCCTTAACTTCTTCTTCATTTCCTCTCAACTATATCGCTGATTTTGGAGTTAGTAGTCATAGACTAATTTTAAATATGTTGCCCTTGTGATAAATTAATCACAGTGGATGAACCTGAAAGAATCAAGAGAATTTTGCATGGAAAAAATAGTTTCTGTTAATCTTTTTCAAAAAAGTTTATTAAGCACAAAAGAAGAATAAACATTAGTTCTGATTGCATTTTCAAGGTAAAAAAAGAAAAATTTGTGTGAGACCTTCTTAACTCATTGTCAAGATACGCGTCTTTTGCAATTTTTATGCCTTTCTTAAAAATGCTTTCCTTTCTATTTTCTCTTATCCAAACACGTAACTACAACATGCAAAAGAATGTTTGGCAGCCATTAAAATTTTACAGTCATATTTCTCAGTTCATGTAAAGTGCTATATCTTCTCTAAAGTTAAATCATGTCAACTTACAATACCTGACGATGTGTCCTGCAAAACACTTTTATGTTGGACAGTTATGTTAGCTGGTGCATGCTGTTTATAAATATTTTGTGTTCAGCTGTATTGCTTTAGTTATTCTTATATGCCAAGTCAAAGGCTCCTCTTTGGGATAGAAAGTAGTATCTTACACGCTTTTAAAATTGGAAATTTGTCCCTGGAACCGCATTTTTCTGCTCTCAGTAATAACAAATGGAATTAAAAATGGATGATACTTAAAAGCTTGGCTCTGTCAAATCTCAGGAGCAGACTACAAATAGACATTTTTGTGAGCATTCATGTGGCAGGGAAGCTAGGTGTCGTTGCTATTTATGTTGTCATCTATTAGATACAAACACTTAACATAGATTGCAGGGACTAATCTTGCGAGTCCCTTATTTTTCAGATTTGGGCTGAAAAATATTAATGAAAAGATGTAGCATTTATTCACTTCCAAACATTTCAGAAAAGACCCTGATGTGGTAGAGTCTCTGTGGAGTAACAGGGAGAGACTTCATGAGAGATGAACATTTTTAGTTTGTAAAATATTTGGTTTTCTTCATTTTCTATCACTAGAGATTCTGGATAACCCAGTGTTTTAGGGTAATGAAATTCAGCATTAAGAGAAAAACAGTTTCTGTTTGATCTTGATGGCTGAGTCTTCATCCTCTGTATGGAGCTGATTTGGCTGCCAAGTCATGTGGTATCTCCTCATTGACTACAACTACATGATGAAACCTTGTTCTCAGTTGTGGAAGGTGCCTCTAACAGGGGATAGCATCTTTAATTGTGTGATACTGTAAAATTCTTCTGGATGAAGTAGATAGATAAGCATTAAAGGAAACAAATGCATTGTATTGGAGCCCACCACTGCTGTGTTGTAATCTCAGCTCTGGTACACAGCTGGAGCTGAGTGAATGATTTGAATCAGATTATCCAGCTAATTTCATGTCATGTTCAGAAAAATACTGGAGTGGACATTTATTCCAAGTTATTTCTTTGAAATATGTACTGTTCAGTAGTAAACAGAAGAGCAATCCATATGTGAACAACTGTGGTGTGTGTCTGCTCACTATTTGGACAATAGTAATGCTTGGGATTTACTACCATAAATATTTGCAATCACAAATTTATTACAGACTTTCTTTCTGCTTTTGCAGTGCTTGTTTGATACTTACTTTTTCTGTAAGCAGTGTTGCCAGCTCTCTCATTCACTGCCATGTTTGAGTGTTCAAAGACAGCGAACATATCTACGGGAAATTTGTTCAGAAGTCTCTGCCCTCCAGTAACTATCTACTGTTTTCTGTTTCGTTCAAAGATAACCTTTGGAGGCATGCCTTTTTCTGGGAAGCCCAGTTCTAACAGTAGGAAAAACTTCAAAGGCTGCATGGAGAGCATCAACTACAATGGCAATAATATCACTGACCTTGCCAAAAGGAAGAAATTGGAACCCTCTAATGTGGTAAGAGCGTAATTTAATGGTCATCTAAACTTCTGCTTCTCCTTCTAAAGGAGACTAGAAGGTTTGTGACTTTGTGTAGCTGATATTCTTGTGATATACTGGAATGATATAGAACACAAAACAAATTTTATCACATGCCCGAAGATCTTACTGTACGTACATTTGTGACTTATTATGTCTGAACATTTTACTTCTGGGATCCCATTTCATCTTTCCAAAATTGACCTTCAGTATGTGATAACTACTTTTTAAAATAAAATAATCTGAACAAATAATTACTTCTTTCTTTTCCTCCCAAATTATAGTATAATCCTCCCAAAACCAGTGCAGGCAAGATTTATTATTAAATCAATTGCAGTGTTCTTGTGGTTCTAAATCCTGCTATCTTCCATGCCTGCAGAGATGGTTTGATTTCTGGAGTGCAGAAGTCATTGGAAGGGAATGCTTCTACAGGCCTTTCTTGTAGCTGTGAAAAGCTTCAAGATATTAGACTTGAAAATCATTACTTAGCTTATTAACATTACAGTGCTTATTAACATTTTATTCTATTTTTTTCTCTTGCTTAAGCATTCATAGTTGCTTTCATGTTCAAACTTGCGGCTTTGTGGGCAGGGTGATTAAGAAAGAATGTACTTTAATTACTGTATTTTTAAGGCTCTAAATGTTCCTAAAATTGCTTACTGGCATACAAAGGCAATGTGGGTGAGAAATAAATGTATTATTGCCGTGAGTTTGAGATGGTGTGAATAAGTTGTTCAAGGCTTACTTCTGTACAAGTTTACAGCCTTGACAAAGCCCTGCTAACAGCATGTATGGTTCCACTGTTGCCTTTCTATTTATGTAATAAATAGTAAAGATTTACATATGCAGTGATGATGAAGTGCAAAGGATTGATTATTCCTTGGATCTTAATGGTGAAGTTCCATATAATTGTATGAACAATATGGCTAAATAGTCATGGTAAATCAAAGGATAATTTTGAATATACAGCCTGATATTTAGAACCTTTTCTATACATTAATTTCTTCAGTATTGTCAAAGGCATGTCATTTGCCGTGGAGAACGACTTCACTTTTAGAAATTTTTCGACCCAGTCATGTGATCTCCTGATTGTTTGACTTTTTTTTTTTTTCCAAAATTGCCTGTGATTTCCTGCCTGCAGTGCATTTTAAGCTTATAATATAACCATGATTTTCAAAGATTGATGCCCGATTTAGAAAAGGATCTTTGTACAGGAGCAGTTTTTCTGTTTTGCAGTTGAGTCCACTGCAAATTAGTAGGACATACTCTTAAGGTCTCTTTCTGAACTTAAGAGGTTTCTGTAGTTAAAATCCTATTCTTTCAAAAGTGTGGCATAGCTATCAGGCCTGTAAAGCCTCTATAAAATCATCTCTCTGTTTTTTTATTAGTTTGTTTCTTTGTTTTTAAAATTCTGTTACCTGTAACATGAAAGTAAAATCCACATAAGAAGCTTTGGCAGTGTTAATATTACATCAAGAGGCTATGGCATGGTAGATAATTTGATGGTTCTGCTGATTTCCAATTCTGAGAATGGCTATAAAAATAGAAGTGACCTTTGTTTTCAGTAGAATTACTTAAGTTGCTTCAGCTCTTCAAAAGCACAATCCATTTTACTCTAACTAAATCAACATGGTATTCTATGTTTCCTACAAAAGACTTTTGTCACCTAGTTTTTACCCTGATTTCACATGAAAAATGGACTCTTGAGACTACTGTTGTTGTTAATCAGGTCTATGATGATGGCACTTAAGCAATCCAACAAGGATCAAAGCTCCATCGTAGGAGACCCTGTACAAACCCATAACAGCAGGCACACCCTGCCTTAAACAGTGCATTATCTGAAGAGGCAAGGCAGACAAAATGTAATGAAAATGAACACAAGCAAAGTAATCAGTATGGTGATGAGAATAATCATAAGGGAGGGAAAAAAAAAAAAAAAAACAGAAGAAAGAAGGCTATTAAAGAGATGTGAGACAGAAAAAAAATTCTCAGATGCAGATAGTTGAATTTCAGAAGTCACAGTGAAAGGGAGTTGACAATTTTTCAGAATGAGGAGGCCAAGAGAACCAAAGATGATAATAAGATGATAATCTTGATTTGTCTCTGAACAAAATTAAAATTATTTTTGGGACTCATATACCTAGGTACTACAAGCGAAAATGCATCACCAAGCATCTCTTTAATTTATTGAAAAGTAAGGATGTAAAAGCAATTCAGAAGCAATTTAAATTTAAATAAAGTCCAACACTCACTTTAATAATGTATTTCTTTTAGATTTAGAGGGCAAGAATAGTGGGGAAAAAGCTTTGGCAGTCATTTGTGGTGTGTAAGGTGGCAACAGCTCTTTGGGGAGAATGAGTCGGATAGTCTTGAGCAGTTATTGTGGTTCTTATTAGCAGAGCCTGATTTGTTTTCATAGAAGATGAATGAGGTAAATGATAAAGATGCCCAAAAGGGAGAGTAGGGGAGAAAAGCTGAGAAAGAGAATCTAAGTGTCTGCTTTCTCCTGAATCAAGTTGCAAACAAGAGTTGGCAGTGACTAACTAGCACAGTAGGTGACAATTCATGTGTACAACTTGACTCAGGACTAAGACAGAAACAAGGAATGTGCTTGTAAACAATCTTTCCATCCATCTTTTCTGTTTTCTACCAAAATACAACAAGCTTTGTAGGACTTTCATTACCTTGCATAACTGAAGAATATTGTACTTGTACTACTTGTGAGAAGAGACTAGACTATGCAGTTAACAAGAAGCCCAGAGAAATTTGAGTTTAGGAGTTTAGTCACTTTATCAAATTTTCCTACTCAGAGGTAAATTAAGGGCAGGCAGCATGAATATTAATGGGATTTAGTTTCCATAGAACAGTCTCTCCAGTTTTAAAGTGTGTAACTGAAAAATGCTGAGGAGAATCATATTTGCTACCGTCTGTCCTTGCATCTACCAGGTCTATGCTCCACCCACTTCTGCAACTCCTACACCGTGTGTTACTGAGCTCAATCATGTACAACCTTAGATGAGTGTTTTCTTTAAATGATTTGTATTAAGTGCATGTTATGTTAAGCTCAACGATGAGTAATAAGCTACTTGGAGAAAAATACTGAAATAATCAGATAAACAGCAGCGTACAATACATTGCCTGTACTGTATAATCCTGATTTAACAGGTATTGTAGTCTTAATAAACTCCTTACCTCTCTTTTGGGAGCTACGTATTCAGACAGTAGCTCTATTAATTGGGAAAGCTTTTAAGACCCAGTAGTATTTCCATGAGGGATAGCATCTGAATGTGTATAGGCAAATCTGATTTATAAGACGTAAACATGAAGCTAATTTGCAGCACAGATGAAAGATAGTGAAGCAAAGCTCAAATGACCCAAGTTAGGATGTTTTCCCCATTTCCCTTCCAATGTAGTATGAAAAATTCTCTGATAAGACCAACAGTTTCAGTATAAAGGCACGATATATTTTTGACTTCCGGATGTCATTGCCCAGAGAGCTATTAAGCAAGTCACTCTGAGTCTGCAGAAAAGGCCCTCTTTCTCTTGGAAACACGAGGACGCTATTATAGAGACAAACTGCAGATTAGCTTGGACTCTTGACCTAGACCTAGTGAGCAATCTATATCAGATGGGCTTTACTTAAAAGAGGATTCACTTCATAAATTACAGTCATAGAGGGAATCGATAATCCAGTTCAGATTAATCTGAATAACTCAATAGGGCAAATACTACCTAGCAGAGAAATTAGAATTATATATTACTGACTCAAGAAATCTTTTACAGTTCATGATAAATACATTCACTGATGTGAAAAAGGATTTGAATGCATTTGGTGCCATTAACATTAATAGGTGTTACATGTGCAAGTATCCCATGCGTCAGGATGACAGGAGGGTGTCAGTTGGTTAGAAAGCCGCCTTCTTATGAGGAAGTTGCTCGTTCCTCTCAGTAACAAGGCAGCAAAAGGAACTCTTTAAAATGTCTAACGAAATGCTTTCTGAGTGCTACTTAATTGGCATCTATGACTGAACCATGAGATGTCAGCTCTTACAAAATGCTGTTGCCCTCTGTATCTACACGGAACTGCCTTAACTGTGTAAGAGAAGTTGTTTCTAATCCATAGAGTGACCATTACACTGAGAATGTTAACAAAGGGTTACAAAGGGTATTTCAGACGCTCTATTTTTTTCTGCATGTAAAATTTGTGGTTTAACCAAAAGGACTCAGTAGCATACTTGGGAATGTTCAGATTAAATTATTCAAACAAATGAGTAAACTATTTTGATTTAATGCTTAATTGGCTAAAAACTTAAAAACTCTAGGCAACTTTTAGACTAAAAATAGAATAGCCGGACAACTGGGCAGCAAAGGAGATCCTTTGCCCTTCGTCAGAAAGTAGTTGTAATTCCTCTTATTCAAAATAATTTAAAAGCTTCCTATAGTTGTTTTTGCTAATTATTTTCCTAAGTTCTTGGATATATTTCTTATCCATGGAACATGGGTGTATGAAAATAACATGGTTTGTAATGCTGCAATTGTATCATAAAGATAGGAACAAATCTTTTAGGAGCTCAGCATAAAAAAAAAAATAAATCTCTTCATTAGTTCCAGATTGTCAGAAACATCAGTGTTCCTTAATTGCTGATGGAGGCTGCCAACCTGATAGTCTAGTTGCTACAAGTTCTACTGGCCTTTATGAATAGACTGTGTGGCAGCATAACTTGCGACACTGTAGAAAACAGAGGTGGTTATGCAGAGGAATCTAAGAATCTCTCTGAGTGCTCAAGAGACTATTGTTTTTATTCCTGTATTGACATGGAAACACTATATAAGAAACTGAATCTGCCACATAGCTGGCATCTTGCTATGATACAGATAAAGTGTTTTCTGATGTGTTGTTCCTTTAAAAAGTGGTGGGTTTGGACATTGGTAAATGAGTGCGAAACCTTGCTTCCTTATTGATGTCATCTGGCCCATCTCCAATTGAAAATAATTACTTTTTTAAAAAAACTACTTAGGACTTTCTTCCCACAGCTTTTAAGACACAAAGTTTCTATCTCGCTTCCAAATTTTCTATCTTCCCTTAAGATTAACTGTCAGATGCCTTTACACACTATGAATACAAAACTGTGTGACTTAAAAGCTTACAACAGGAAGTCAGTAACACGGAGTTTAAAAGTATTTATGTGATAAAGATGATGACTGACTCCTATTGGGTCTCTGAACAGTGCTTAGGTGAACCTAATCTATAAGCATCTAGCCGAAAATGTTGTTAATTCCCTAATATTTTTTTTTAAATGTACAAATAAATATCAAAGAAACTGCTGTACTGATCATAGTATAATTTCCATACTTCATCAGATAAAATTCTTCCTTTCTAAACTGAACTGAAATTGCCATCCATTTGCCACAGAGCACCAGAAAAACTAATCGTAGAACAGGATCCACTTTGCCACATGTTAGAGAAATTTTTCAGCAGAGGAGTTTTTCTTGTTACATTTACATTGATGCATTAATTCTGGACAAAGATTGCTACAAATTTTTTATCATTTCTAAGGAAAAATATAGCAATACATCTTAGCATTGTGGTCCTTCATGAGAAATAACATGAGAACCAGAGTGAAAAATTCATGTCCTTAATTCTAGGCTTGTTTACAGATACGTTTTAAAGACTTGGAAGTCAATAAATTTGACTGAATTTTTGTCAGTTTCCCAAAGAGTAAAATTTTATGGTGGGAAAATGCAGTTTCTTTTTCAGAGAAAGATTGACTAACTACAAATATTAGGCATTGTTCATGATCAGCTACTCCAAATCCTTCTGCTTCACAAAATGAAGTTATAGCTTGTTGAGTATTATAACGTAGAACAGAAAACATAACAAAGAGGCTAGCTCTTCACAAAGTATTATACATCCTTCTTTCACAACCTCATACATTGTATTGATTCACATTAGTATAAGGGTATTTGGAAAGCTGTATTTAATTTTTATAAAAGGATGGATTAATGCTCTGTTATAGGCTTCTTCCACGACCACAAAGAAGCCGAAGTTTCTTTGTGATTGATTTCTTCATCTTTGAACTGGATATATTGATGCTTTCACCTAAGCTTTATCTTAGTTACACTATAACTCTTCAGGGCAAAAACTGCCTCTTCTTGTGTGTATGTAGAGTACTAAACATAATAGAGCCACTGCTAGACAAAACAGAAACATCAGCAACAACATTATAATTGTAACAATGCTAATATTAACAGAACATTTTTACGTGCAACTTGTGAAACCTAGAGTACTTTTCTAGAGGTAGATATGAATTTAGCGGAACCTTCCCTACCATTTTGCTTATGTTTTTGCTTTTTTTGTTTTACTTAGGGGAATTTAAGTTTTTCTTGTGTGGAGCCACATACAGTGCCTGTCTTTTTCAACGCCACCAGTTACCTTGAGGTCCCTGGTCGTCCAAGCCAGGATCTGTTTTCAGTCAGTTTCCTTTTCCGAACCTGGAACCCCAATGGGCTTCTTGTCTTCAGCAACTTTGCAGATGACCTGGGGAATGTGGAGATTAACATAAATGAGGGCAAAGTCAGTGTCCATATCAATGTCACCCAACTGAAGAAGAATCGAATAGACATCTCATCAGGTAAGTGAGTTCTTTTAATTGGTATCATTTTTGTGATTTAAAAGCATCATGGACCTAAAAATTAGAACAACTGTTTTACAAAATTTAAAATTTAAATTGCAACTATATTAAATCATTTATTGTATGTTTTGTTGAGCTAGAGGTAGAAGAATATTGAAGTATTTGTTAGATTAAAAAAGACGACAATAAATATTCTTATTCTGTCATGAAACAGAAAATGTATCACCCCTTATATCTATGAGGTTGCATTGCTTCTTTTTTTTTCTTGCTGCTGTTTTTCTTGCAGTCTTCTCTGTAAAACTATTTGGTTTCCAAAGAGGAGGGTACTCCCTTGTTTACGGTAGCCTAATAATTATGTTACTCCTACTACTTCCTAATAATAAGGAAGCTCTCATTAAAAAACAAAACAAACCAAAAATCAATCCCAAAACATTTGTTTTAACCACAAGGCTGACATGCAAAAGACTGTGGCATTCTGTGAGTATGCTGCAGATTCATGCTGGAGAAGCACCAGCGCTTTCAGCACCTAATTAAAGGAAGGTTTCGAAAGTACTGGGTAAAAGGTACAGGATTAGGTTTGTTTCTGGAAGAAAGGGTGTATGTTGGTGTCAGCTGATCAGCCTTTTAAAATTACTTGATACTTCCATTTTGATAAATTATACTTTCAGGCTAGATTCTTTATGGGCATTTCTGCATCAGCTGTAGCCAATATGGTGCTAGCTACATCATGTCAATTACCACTTTTTCTCATCAAAGTCATGACCTAATCATGGATTGAAAAATACAGGGCTGCTTGCAAATGGAACTAATTCCACATTAAGAAAAACTCAGTGACTATTTGAAGTAGCATATATGGCAGGCTAGTCAGACAAAAAAGGACCACCTTTTTTGCCTGAAATCATCTGTGGTTTCTATTTTTTTCTTAATTTCATGGTGCAGTCTTCAGTCTTTATCAACAGCATTGATATACTGGTATAGCTGAATGAACAATAGTGGGGTTTATGGCTACCTTTCTATTCAATTTCTATTTGAAAATACATTGTCTACATATTCACACTAACGGGGACTTGAGGAAATGTAAGAAAAAGAAAAAAATGGCATTTTTAATGAGAATACATACATAGGAAAGTAACATTTCATTTGGCAAGTGGACACTTTTCTCTTTTCACCCCAGAGCTGAGCATCAAATGAAAAGAATTTTTTAAAAGATAGAACTGAATAAAATATGAATATTAACAAATAAAACCCAGAATGTACAGGTTTTGTAAAATTAAAATATTTTTATGAAAAGTACATCATATATCCTTCCATTGCTAGAATTTTTTTTAGCACAAAGAATCAATAACGTAGGTTACAAGTTAGCATTTCATTGCCTTTGTTATATAAATACAGTCAAGAGAGAATGAAGTAATATTTTGGTAGTACAGGAGGGTCTTGAACAAGAATGTTTTATCAAGGTGCTAGTGCACCGTAATTAGGAAACACATGGAATTATCACCCTCATTCTTCCTTCCTTAGCTCTGCCTCTACAAATCCCAGTTTACGGAGAGAAGTGGCTACCCCTGATACTTCTTCATGAGCTTCCTTGTGCCTTTTTGGTTCAAGAAAGATTTCAGTGCTGATTAGCCAAATGTTATGAGAAATAAAAATGTCATCAATTTGCCACTAATTTTGCCCAGCGTATATCTTGATATGAAACCATTTTCAGTTTCCATTACGTTTACATTCTGGTAAGCAAATACACGTGAAAACTTCTAATTTGCTTTTCTGCTTTCTCCAGACCTTCACCCACAGCAACAAAAATTCTGCAACTACTGTGATGTAAAACCAGAGTAATTTGTATTCTGACTTTTTTTCTGAAATACTTTGAATGGAATATGCTTCAGAGTAAATGTTCGCAGTCTGTATGATCAGTTTACATAACAGCCCACGAATCACATACAGCCGTTCGTTTTTATAGCCATCGTGCTGTTCTTAATCTCCACACAATCCAATATCTGCATACTACGGTCTGAATATCTTAAAGAGTTAGTAGTTTCCTTTGTTATTACAATTTGTACCATAAAGAAAATACATTTATTGTTTATAATTTTCATTCTATGGACTTTATATATTTGCATAGCCCTCCTGGCAGTGCTTTGGTTTATTTTAACACTTTCTTGCTACTTTTGTTGCAGCGGATATTTCCGTGCCTGTGAAGTGAATTGTGTGTGTATGAACCTAAGACAGCAAAATACAGAATCTGCCAGGGAAGGCTGCAAAAGGAACGCTGCTGTTGCAGGGGAAATATCATAGCAAACTTCTTGTTCCCTTTTTGTGCAGAGAATGAACAGTTACCAGCATATAAACCTCTGCTGGGTTTATGTAGAAGTCAACATGTTCTGCCTTTGGCACAAAGATTTTTGACTCTTGTCCTATATAAGATGCACACTTTCCCACTGATTGTTTTTAACAGCTGGCAAAGCAGGATTTTCTGCATTCAAGTGTGCAGCTTTCTATGTAACTGCATCTCCAGGTATGAATAATTAATCTTCTGCCTATTGGGACGTACGCACCCTGGTTATCACAAAGGATTAGGCTAACTAAACCCATAGCCTAGATGCAGGTGTGTTTCGTATTTCATGGCTTTGTTGTACTCATGCCTGTCACCTGTAATAGCATATTTTCCCTGGAGAAAGCTAAAGTCTCTTAGTCCTTCTTCTATACACCTCTCATAATTTACTAACTTTGATTAGCAGCTTCTAGTGTCATCTCTCCATGTTAGCATGAGAACATGGGCAGTTCATTCCGGGGCACAGTCTAACTCCAGCTGGAGGAACAGCAGTTGCACTGACTGGCAGGAGTTACATGAGAGGACTGTATGGCTGATGTGGAGGTGGCAAGAGTTTGTTCCTGCACATCTTTGCACTAAAGGTACTGGTGTGGAACAGAGTTCCAGTTTGTCTGGTTTTCAGTGTCATAATATTCCTTAAACACCTTAAAGCTGCTCACACTGACTCAGGGAGCTCTAACTTAGCATGAGTGGATTTCATATAAAGAGGAGAGCCTAGCCTTCCAGTATATCACATGCCATTACATTCCCACCATTCTCACTGGTAGCTGGGCACTGCAAACCTTCTTATTGAACTACTTTATGAAGTGCTGTGTGATGCCTGGGACAGTATGTGAAAAAGATTTTCATGTCAACTTGACGGCACTTTCATACCAAATTCATTTGAGCATTTTGCTTAAGGAGAGAAAGGCAGCTTCAGTTTTAAATATGTTGATGACACTTTACAAAAATAAAAATTAAATAATGCATAGAATGTATAGTTAAAGGACCTGCATTTCTAGTCCCATATAGCACAAGGACCTGTGTTTACTACTTACCTGCAGAGACAGTAAGGTGAATATTTTACAGGACATTGTGAAGTTTGATAGACACCTGTAAGGTTTAGGGGTAAGAACATCAAGTTCCTTACAATGACCTCATCAAGAACATCAGCAAACAGACTCAATTGGCTATTGAGAGCTAGTACTAATCTGAGAAATCAGAAACAGGTTTATATACTATTTTTTATGCCAATAATTCAACTTTTTCTGAAGGAAGATATACAATACTCTAAGGTAGTCAAAGAGAAAACATGAATGCAAAAAGTTTAACTTCTGTGTTAAATACAGTGACTATGGGAGGTTTACATAGCATGCTGTGGGAAAACGTTTGGATCAGTAGTAGGCAATTCATAGGAATCATGAAGCAGACATTACTTTGCATTTAAAATCACGGAAACTGAGAGTTGCCATCAGGCAATCCATTCTTAGCAGTTTTCTTTGTCTCCCAGAGATCCTTCCGTGCTCTCATCAGTTGTCTGTCCTGTTTTTGTCAGGGATAATTTTTTCGCACTGTTAGCAGATCACAGCAAGAGCTCTTAAGTCTTATTGAATGTTACCCTTTGATCTTCCAAAAGGCACTTAAATGTTCCATCATTTATGTAGCCACACGTCCTGCCCGCTGGAGATTTCACTATATCCGATTCTTCATTAATTCCTCTCAGTTTCTTAATCAATCTTCATCTTTATTGGAATGGCAAGTCATCCCTGTACTTCATTCTTGCAATATTTAATATAAAATATTTTCTTTATTATTAAAATGGTTTTGTGTATCTGAAGCATCTTCACTTATTGTTTGGAGTTCAAAATTATCTTCAGCCTAAGTATGAGACATTCCTACTGTCTGTCATGCCTTAATTCCCTCTTTCATTCTGTTGTTGCTACTGTTTAAAAATCACAGGTAGTTGATGTTACCTAGATGACTTTCTATAGATCACTTCTTGTTTTACAAAAATGCATTTTATTTTCATCTTTAATGATGTTAGCTACCGTTTATCTTGCTGCTCCTTTAATACCTTCAGTCACAATCAAACCTCTGCCTTATCTCTATATATCTGATTAAAACATTTGAATGTATCTGTATTATGAAAATTACGTATTAATTTTATATGTGCTGAAAAGAATCAGGGATGGTTACATCCATTGTAGTCCAGTACGTATGATTTTTGCACAACTAGTAAAAGGCAACAGAGTTCATGCAGACCAAGCAAAGCAGAATCTCACGTTTCATGTTACCTGGCTGTAGGTCGTTTAACAGTGGCCAAATGACTAGTCCCTGACCTGTTCTGGATTTCATCTGGGTGAATGGTAGATGCAATGAAGAGCTGTTAAAGGACAGTAATAGATTTTATGTTATATCAATAAGGTGTACACTCTGTTGCCTCAACAAAATTTTGAGTGTAACAGAATATTTTACCTTAATGTGCAGTTTAGCTTTCTTTGTATTGCATATGAAAGGGACAACGATGTTTACTCCTTGTGGTTATGCTTACTGTCTGATTCTGCTTACTGTGCAATTTTTTCCTTTTTTTTGTGATCTTGACAGTTATTCCTTCAAAATGAGTCTCTAAACAATAAAAAATTCCTTCCCTTCTCTGCTCAGCATTCTATTAAGTGTTCAGAAAGCGCTG